GTGCAAGGAAGGCTAAATTTATTGGTAGAACCAGACTGCAACACCTCAAGGATTGCTGCTTGCATAAAACATGTTTGCTCCCACCTTTACCATTCCTCCACAGTGATCCAAAAGCTGGAAAGATTACAGGGCAACACCTAGAGGTGGGTATTTTACAGATTAGGCAAATATAGACAACACTCACAAGGAGAGAGCTGACTGGGACAACAGGCCCATGCTTTTCTCCCTGGCATGCCATTTCACTAGGCCTGAATCTCTGCTTGAGCAGCATGCCTGTTCTGAACCCCCACTCATCCCTTCAAGTGGTCAATTTTTGATTTCCCTATTCCACCCCCTCCTCTGCTGCAGCATGCCCCTGTTAGCTCACACTGGCTCCAGCCAACTCTACAAGTATTTATCTTTCAGAAACAATCCGTCACTTACATTTTGTGGTTTATTGACCTTCTCCCATATGGCACGTGGCTCCGTTACAGTTTGTCATGTTACGTGACCTCCGTGTCCTCATGGAGACACTGCCATGGCTCCCAGCTCCAGGTCAGCACCAACACCCTGGGTTAGGCCCTCCAATACAACCAGGAAGGATCGTGTCTCCACACTGGCCAGTAATTCCTTTGGATCCACAGGTATGCTTTTGTTGGGAAATGGGAACTCATTTTAACTTTAAATTTTGTCTGCTGGCAAAGGCAGACTGTGCTGGGTGAATTTTGGAGTACTTTGGCTGTTGCTAGAGATGGGACATTAAACTGTTCAGAGAGACACCCAGCATGCACACTTCCACGTGGCATTATTTTGGCACAGAAACCACTCACTGTGAATGAAGGGAAAAGGATACCCCAAGGCCTTCGAGGGAGGCTCTGGCAGTGACAAGCTGTGCTCCTAAAAGAGCTATGAGCTTGTTATCTAATTCTTAGTGTACCAAGGGAGCATATTTACATTGCAAAGTGTTCCTCAATTAGTAAGTATTTTTAAACCTTTGCAAATAAACTTCAAAGCAGGAGCACTTCCTTTTGGTAGGGAAGGGCTGGTTAAGAGTGGGAGCTCTGAATGTCACTATTAATCACTTCCTTCCTGACATCAGGACTCTCCCCACAGGGGGGGCTTCTCTTTCCTTTGTTTCCTACCAGAAAAGCCTCATGAAATACAAGAAGGCTGCGGGGAGGGGGCTCAGAGTGGGCTGCTTATCACCTCTCTCTCAGTCAGTATGACTTGTTTCAGAAGCAGGACTACTACAAGCTGCAGGAGGCTTGGCTCCTTGGCAGCCCGAGAAAGCTGTGCTGCTTCTCGGGGCAGAGCAGCAACTACGTGCAAGGCAAGTCAGGCGTTAGGGGAGGACACCCAGGGGCACCTGGCCTGCTGTCCCTATACCCACCACATTCCCCAGCATCAGGCTCAGATTGCAGGGCACATCCTGGATTAACTGGACACACAGTGTAATTTAGAAACACGTGTCTTTTGGAAATATGATTGACCCTTTGAAACTGATGCACCATGAAGGTGAACTTCAAAAAAGCAACAATGCACTGCAAATATTTGGGCAATTTCCTCTTGGCACATAATTGCTTGTTTTGTGACCTAAACCCCAGTATTCCTTCCAATCCTTCACAAGGGGACAGGTTACTTAAACTATTTATAGATGCTTTGATCCTTTCTGCAATCAAGGTGGATCAACCAGACGTGACAGAATTCCTGGTGCTGCCATCTTGAGGCATGCCTCGTGTGACCTAGTCCTCGGAGGTGCTATGGGCACACGTTATCAGCTCCATCTATTGCAGATATCACAGAGGTCCCTCCCTAGCACAGAGGATGCTTGGGAAATGCAGGATACCAGGCATGCTATGCCGTGTCATTGGCTCTTGAGGAGGAGGTGAGGGAAGTACTCGGCAGTACTTTTCCACTTGCTTTCCCACCCAGGAGCTGGTAACTAGGCTGATGGGACAGAGGTCAGATGTAGCTTGGAATACCTCAGTAGTTCAGCGATTCTAGCGCTGAGTTATTCTCATGTATGAGAGGTCTCAGGTGTTCCTTCCTTCCAGAAAGCACCTCCCATTATCTAGGGAATGATTTGTATCAATAGTCACTTGAACCTCTTTTCAATCAGCAGTACTTTGTAGCTTTTTCCATGGTTGGGCAGGAGCAAAACTCTAGAGCTGTCGATTTCCAATGGAACAGGAATCCTAAAGAACCTGAACTTGTTGTCTCAATGCAATCGCTTTGTTGCCATAACATTAGTGTGTTTCAATTTTACAATGGTGACAATACTTTCTTTGTCAAAAGGCAATAATGATGTATTGCATATAAGATATGAGATGGTAATAAACATAACTGTGAAAGCAAATTTCAACACAAAGAAATCAATGAAAATTACATATATCTTTTTGAGTTATGCTAAGGGAAGGGGAGCAGTCCCTCTGTAAAGGAAACTTGAAGGGAAGAAAGAGGGAGAATGCCTCGCAAAAGAGTGTGGTTGGGAAGCCAAAAGGCAGATGCACCTGGCCTAGGCACTACTGGTGCTCAGGGCTGAGGATGTCAAGGATGTCTGGAGGCCTGGGACAAGCTGCAGGCTTTGTGGGCTGTGACCTGCTGGAAAGAGTCAGTCAGATTTTGATCCATTTCAAAAGAAACCTGGAAAAGGCTCCTCTTCTTTAAATTTGTATCACCACTGCAATGAAAAAGCTTAACTTGGAACTTCCCACACTGATCTTCAGCCCCTGAAATCTTAGCCTTTCAAAGTCAGTATTCCCATTTGACCCCCTTCTGTGGTTCTATTATAAAGAACTTACATACACAGGGAAATCACTCCATCCCCTGCCTAAGAAATTATGTGACATATAAGCAAAAGAACCTCCAAGCAGAAATCTGAGACAAACTTCACTAAGTGGCCTGTTCCACAAAAATTCCATTTCCCATAAATATTTTCTCCTCTCATTTCCTGTGTGCTACTTGTTACGTTAATTGTTTAAGTCAAATCACCATGTGGTAATTGCTAAGATATGGAAGCTGACTGTAACTGCCCCAGGAACAAGTGGAACTCCGTGCATCAGAAGGACAAGTAAGTGAAAATGGAAATCACTGATATGGCAAAGTGCAAAGTGGTAAAACAATAAAAAGTCCTGTCCAACCTGCAATAGCTTACTTGGTTCAACTGGCCTTTAAATATGGATGAGAGACCTGCTCTAGGAAGAGTTTTTTAAAGACCAGAGGGCACAGGTTTGGGCTGATGTGGCTATCCATGACTCAGGGCCTCTGAGGTCATTCCTGCTGCTGGCATGAAAAGAAAGGGTAGAAAGCTCATGTAGGACCACGGCAGTTTCTCACTTAAAATGAGTGGGATGTCACCCACCAGACTGGAGGAAGGCAGTGGCATCCCAGTTGCCTCTGCATGTCTGCAAGCAAGTTCAGGGGAGACACCATCTTTAAAGTCCCTCCTTTCTCTCTTGTCCCCAAGAGGTTAGGGGGTTCTTCTCTTGTCATGCCTGCTCCCAGTGATTTCCCTTCTCCCTTTCCCATGAAGAAGCATTTTGTCCTCAGCATTGACTCATCCTCTGCAGCCTGCATACACAGCACCACAGGAACCTATGGCAAGCTGTGGCCTGTCCCTGGGAATGCCATACACAGGCAGAGGGAACAGAGGGAGCAGAGGGAGGCACACGGGACTGACCTGGCTGATGGAGGCAGGGAGCTGCAGAAGATAAAATGCACCTGTTTTATTGAAGGTGTGTTTACATCAAGGATCAGATCCTGCCTTACTCTGCTAAAACCGTAAAGTGGAGCGGCTTTTCTGGAGCAGCTCCCAAATGGGCTTGTCCAAACAGCAGCCGGGGAACATCAAAAGGTAGAAGCGATCACCCACAGATAAGCACCCCAACTGTCTGATCCTGAGCTACCCCCAGGCACGGCTCAGCATCTCGTCTGCCCGCCATGAGCTCTCTCTACAGCCCGCCCTTGTACCAGAGCCTCTTTCCATGGTGACTGCTCCATACATGCAGCAGAGAGCTAACTGACTGCTAGTCAACAAGTTCTGATCTCCAAAGAAAAGAAAACCCTGAGTGTGGAGCCCTTTGAGGAGAGAAGAGAATGGGAACACAGGATTGGGCCAGTGCTCGAGCAGGAGAGTCCTCGCTGCAGTGACCGAGCCGCGGTGGGAAGTGTGTTTGCATCAACCATCGCTCAGTAATTATAGCAACAGATGACTCAAGATCAAAGTGCTTTTGTGAATGATGTGGCAAAGCAAATCGATGGAAATCTGAGCTTTTTTATCTTTGGATCTGTCTTTAATGCTGACTTTCTGCCTGGCTTTAACCTGCCCTGGGATAACATCTCTGCTCCCGGTGCTGCGGCCCTGGCCCAGGCAGAGCCCCGTGCAGCGCCCGGCTCCATCCTGGCTCCTGCCTCCAGCCTGGCAGGGATGGGAGCAGGCAGGGCAGCTCTGGGGACAGCAGCCACTGGGCTTTGGGGCCTGTTCCCCACAGTGGTTCTCAGTGCAGAAGGGCATGTTTCTGTCACAGTGAGTCAACAGAGCCAGGTGCCCGGGTGCTTTGTGCTGACATGCCGAGGTGCTGCTGGTGCTGCTTCCAGGGGCTGCCCCTCCCATTATGATCACCCCAGCAGGCAGCTGCTCCTCCGCTGGATGCAGCCCAAGTGCTCCAGAGACGGCTTCTGGTTCAACTGCTCCTGGCCTTGCCCACCCATAAAGATAGATCCTAAAGAGGGCTGGACAGGAAGGCCTTTTCATTCAGGTTGACACAGCAGATAAAAACCATGACTGACCAGCACGTGGAAAGGGTACCATTTGCCAAGGGTACCGTTCCCCTCTGAGTATATGCCACGATCACCCTTCACCTAGGCTGCATCTGTCTCATCTGCTTTCTGTCACATATGCTCCTAACAGCTTCTATCATGTGGTTATCCTGAAATTTGGAAAGAGTTCATTACCTTGCTAGGATGCTAAGCTCTGGCTGTTGCCACACCAAGTGTTCTCTTGGTTCTACGGATCGGTGAGTGCTCCATGGGTTCCACACACTGGTCTCTTGTGTGGTTGCACACTGGCTCCAGACATCTGTCCTGCATGGTTCCTGGCTAAAGGTGTTTGAGTCACAAGGGGCAGAGTGTGGAGAGAAGGCCAGGGTGGCTCTGGGTTGGGTGAAGAGAACAAATCCTGACTTACAAAGTGTTCCTCAGGTGTCTCTGAGACAGCCTTGATCTCTCTGGGCGATCTCTGTTGCTTTAATTTGCTGTTTTAATTCCACAGGCAGTGCCTCCTGCACAGTTATCATGTGGCAAGGAGGCCCACATTGGATAAAGTTTTGAGCTGCCTCCTGGGACTAGGCACTAAGGCCATCTAAACATGGGATTTCCCAAATCACATCAATCATCTGGGCTTTTCCTGGCTTATGTTGAGATACTGTGCTGCTCCTACCTGCTTATTTCTCAACAGAGCAGAGGGGCTTAATTATTGGGTTACAAAGTTCCCAAGGGTCTTATGAATATTGAATTGGAAAAAGGAGGTATCATGACATACTAGACCCTGATAAATTGTTATCCAAAAATGTTGTAATCCAGGGGAAGTCTGCCCCCCAAACCAGCTACCAGTGCATTGTTTTGGTTGCTGTCATCAAAGTCTACAAGATGAACAGGCAATTAATTATCATTTTGAGTAGTGCTTTGAAAGTTATCATTTGAGCTTCTTAAAAGGTTAATCTTCTGTCCCTGGGATCCCCATGAGGAACAATTAGAGTATCCTGTGGTGAAACACTGGATCATTATTAATGAAACTTGTGTTGCCCTGGAGTTTTAATTGACTCAAGTGTTTAAACACATGCCTGACTTAAACATGTGGGCATTCTCATTCCTGCCACAGGAGCTACCAATGGGTTTCACACAATGCCAAGAAATGTTAACTGTTAAAACCATGTTTGACCATTTATTAACCTTAGCTTCTCACATGTCCTATCCAAAATCCCTCAACAGGGAGGGCTGAGCATTTAATGTACCCTTGAGACAAAGCAAGACTTTGAGTACATTTTTCTTTCTCATAGGAAGAAATGTCTGGATTCTGTCAAGGCAATAGGTATCCAGAACTTTTGGGTTTCTCTGAGCTATCTTCAGCTGGAGTCTGTAATATCAGGAACAATTTTTGCCAAAATTTTCAAGATGGGAGCTAAGCCCTGACATTTTCACATGAAACTAAACAATCAGGATGTTTGGCAGTGACCATGGCGGTGACAAGCTTTATGGGGCCTTCCATCTTTTGCTCACGTGCAGAAGGCAAAGGAGGTTTGCTGTTTATTTAAAGGAGGTCAGGGTTTGACATCAATGTGTTCCCTCATCCTGCCCTTGCAATTCTCCTTTCCCATTGCAAGCTATCGGTTGGAGACAGACAGGTTTCAGGACCAGGCCTGGTGTGCTGCCTGTGTGTATGACCAGGATATAGCTGCATCTCGGTTCCTGCTTGGAGATTCCCAACCACTCCCTCACTACTGGCTGGATTTCCTGGGCCGTGTGTTGGAGCAGATGCAAACTACTTACACAAGAGGGCACAGACCTGGCTGGATCTGGATTCAGTGGGAGCAGGCCCACAGGGAGCAAAGCACTAGATGCTGCCAGTGGCTCTCAGTGAGGAGCACTTCATGCAAGTCCCACCTGTGTCCCTGTTCAATGTCATGATCTAGGAATGCAGCTATTGCTCAGGCAGTTGCCAGCTGGCCACAGCAACTACAGGTGTGTATTTCTTTATTTGTTTGTATATGTAAATCAAGTCCAAAGTCTCAAATGATTAAGTCATGCGATGCAAGGCATGTGACAGAGTGGTTAATAGTGAGGGGTAGACAAGGATGACAGGAGGAAAGCATTTCAAAGTGGCAGCGGTGAGGTAAATCATACTGGAATTGGGTAACCTGGTTTTAGGGGAGAGGTTGGAAAGGAAGGGCGTAGCACTGGGAGAGATTTTTTTTTTTTTTCCCCTCTGGGAAGGGCGCTGATCCTCAGACTTGGGCCCTGATTTTTATTTTACATCTGCTATTGTAGGGCTGATATGCACCTACCAATCTCTGTGGAGAGGGGCCTGAATGACACTAAGAGAAGCCTGAATTTATTGGGGCTTGCTACAAATTTTGGACATGCTTGCAACACGAGCAGTGGCTCTCCCTCTCTCTCTCCTTCTCCTGGCCTCTCTGTGGCACATGAGAAAGGGCAGAGAGGTGAATGAAATGGGATTGTCTGCAGATGGGAGACTGTCTGCTGGACTCAGGCTGGAGCCTACGTGGAAACCTTAACCTGAGTGGAAAATGCCCACTTGAATAGCAGCTGGATCTGAACCCGTAATTACCTCTGCCATCACATGTCTTTGCAGCTGTGTGCACAAACAAATGACTTATCCTTGCACTGCTCCTTCCTCACACCAAACGCTCCTTGGTCTTGGTCTTTCAGAAAAGAACAAAACACCTGGTCTGATCCTCATGGAGAGGAGTGGGGACCTCTGTGGGGACTTCCAGGAGAGCTGTACCCTGAGTCACAACCAGCCCTGTGGCAGACATCAAATGCTGTTGTTCCCTAGCAGTCTGCTGATGTTATCAGTGTTTCTTTGAGGAGTGAGAAACAACAATGACAAACCACAATGTCTCTTATGGTACATAAAACTGGGTAAAAAAAACCACCACCACCAAAAAACAGCAAGAAGAAACCTTCCCAAATAATTGCCAAAAAAAGAGCATTTCATGTCCTTTGTGTTCTCAGTACCAAGCATCTTACAGACAATTAGCTCATGATCTGCCAAACAAAGGGGAGAATGGATCATCATGAAAGACAGACATAAAGCAGCTAGAAAATCAGATCTTGAGAGGAGAACAGGACTGTTCAGGGGAATCATTACTCTTATACTCAAAACTCTAAATAAGAACCACATTTACTGAGCTTTCAGGCTCACAATCCCTGGGGACAAAGAAAAGCTTATTTTACATTTATTGATATATTACTTTGCAAGATCTTGTTGGTGGCTGCTGTTACGCAGAGACTAAATGCTGCTTATGGCACTGCCTCATGCAAAGCACCACAACAGCCAGAAACTGTTTCATCTATTGGCTTGGTAGAAATTAAGGATTTTCATTTTTTGCAATAAGTTTTTTTTAATTTTTGAAGTATGAGGCTAATAACAAAAGAGAATGAAGAACTGGAATGGAATCTCTGATAAGCATGAATGTCAAATTTTACAGACAATTGTGGCCTGTATAGTTTTGCTTAATTTGTTTGGTTTTTTTCCTAAGGGATTTCCAAATTCTTAAGCTCAAACCTTCTGAGGGTCTGAGTCCATAATAAACCAGCAAGGTGATGGGAAATTTGTTAAGAACAAAATTTGTGTCCAAACCCAGTTCAACAGAGAGTAAGAGGTGTGCAGCCACTAAACAGGGATCACACTGACATCCTGATGTGATCCTTCAGCCAGGGAAGCTGGGGCACGAAACTAAGTGCTGGAAACTGGAGCATGATAAATGAATTAACTGGATTACATAAGGTATTCGTTTGCCATGCCAGTGCCTGGACTTGATGCACTGAATTACTTTCCAGTCCTGTATTCCTACACAAAAATACTTATTAAGTCCTCTAAAGAAAAGTGCTCCCTGATCTCCCTGGATGTTGCATGGGTGTGGCACAGAGGGGAAAAAAATCAAACTGTCTGTATGCAAGTTTACTCATTAGATATTTATACTAACATCACAATTCACAGGACTGCTGTATGTAGATGCTGACCCGCATTTTGTGGTTGGATTGAAGGCACTCGCTGCAACAAGCCATTTTAGCTTGGCCATTTCCTTGCTAGATACCATTGGCAGGTCTGCCCTAGAAAAGGAGCCACTCCAGAGCTAGAAAGATGCCAAGAGGGCTGAGCAATGTGCCCCTAGACTGCTGTGTCCTGTCATCAGGAGGCCATATGATTTCATGCACTTACCAAGGCCTAACACTCTTGTGGTCCTTTGGACTGACAGTCTGCTGCCTTTTCCAGAGCTGTTAGACAGAGGGCAAAATATTTTTTTCAACTGCTGCTGTTTGTTTTTCCACTGTGAACTCCCCCAACTCCCTGGTGTCAAAACACCTGGCAGGGCTGCCGTGTTGGTACTGCTTGTTTGTCCTGTTACTCCGATGCTGTGGCGGGTGGGAATTTGGTTGGCCCTGGGGATGGGAGCCACATCAAACACCTGCGCTCGGAGTCACAGGGGGATTGTGCTGCCTCTTTATTCCCTGCTGCCATTCAAGTGGCTCAGAGCTTTGGGGAAAGATCATCCTCCAAGATGATGTCGCTGCACCAACAAGAATGATGGGAAGGATGTCCAAACATGATATGGGGTTAATGTGGGGAGCACAGTGATTCTGGATAACAGCACCAGGGTAGGAGACATCCCAGCCCCCTGGTACTGGCCACACAAGGGGTCGTACAAGTCAGCTGTGAGCTTGAGGGAAGAAATACCACGTAACCTTACAGGAGTGAAGTGCTACATCCACATCTGCATCACCAGGTTTGGTTGCTCTCTTTTCAGAAGACCCACAAACTCAGCCAGGTCAGCTGCAGCCCTACTACTGTATGGCCTCACATAGAGAAGCACCTGCAAATCCAGTTCAGTCCCTAGAAAAATGTGAGTGGAGCAGAGGTACAGACCATACTTCAGGGTGGAGACTCTTCTCCCCAAACCAGCTAGCTGCAATTGCTCCCCGAACCAGCTGTTTGTTGTATAATGGTGCCAATGAAGTTTTGTAACTCCCTCACACACTGGGAGGATTCATTTGATCAAAAGAGCAATTTCACTTTCTGGCATCTACCATCCATCAAAAATTCCAGGCCAGAGCTTTAAAGAGCAGCTAATGACTTAGGATCATATCACTGCTAAACATTTCAACTGAGGCACCTCGGCTGGCATGCAGAGTCCTCCTCTCCAAACCTCTTCCTCAGAACAGACATCAAAACTGTGGGTTGCCCCAAAAGCCCTACCAAGGCTGTACTGTGGAGTTAACAGTTCAAGATGAGGTACAAAAGGTCCTGCTGAACCAAAAGGTCAGCTCTAACCCCCAGATGAAGATCCCTGCTCAGGATCCCTTCAGAGAACATATGCACCCTTCCCTCAGCTACGGGAAGCTTTAGGTGCAGCGGTGCCACAAGCATGAGGGGCACAGCCTAGGAACGCTCGGGCCCGTGGCAGAGCTTAGGAGTCCTGGCAGTGCTGCCAGGCTTATGGCAACACCAAAACACAGCCACTCTCAGCTTCATGCCAGGTTTTGAAGCTCACAGAACCAGCTGGCAACATGTGAGGGGGATGTGGACACAGGGCAGGGTTGAACACTGAGGGTCTGATGGCAGCCAGTTCTGTTCTGGACATGCTTTGGACAAGACTGGGCTTTCTTTGGGGGATCCTGCAGATAGTCCCTGCAGGGCACACTTAGCTAAGCAGTTCCAAGACCTTTCCATCCAGTGAGACTGACCCTATTTGGGAAGTGTGATTCCAGTGAAGCTTGACAACTTTTTTACTTCTAAAATCTTTAGTTAAGCACTGAAAGCAGCATCCTACCTCCCCGGAACCCATCTTGAACTCTGCCCTACACCAATCCCTAGCAAAATGGTACCTGCATCTGTTCTACCGAGGCATACAATCAAACAGTGACTCACTGTCACAATCCTCATTCATGCATTTATTGCCCAGATAACTCTCCATTAAGCTAATGAGTCATTCTTTTATGCCCACCAAATGCATAGTTTGAATGCGGCTGATTTCTGCTATTCATAAATTTGAAGGAGAAGAACAGACAAGAGCCTTGATCTAGAAAATCTGCCTCTAGTGGCAAGCTCCAGGAATTCAAGCGTTTCCATGTATGTTAGCAGGAACAAGCAAGGCTCCAGTACCTTCTCCAGACAAGCGTTGGAGAGCTAATGCTCCTTGATGAAGTACCTCACACCAATCTACTTCTGGAGACGAAGGATGTTCGCCAGGGCTTCACAGGCCTTGGGTGCCCAGGGCTCATTGGCCGTGTTTGAAGCAGCTGTGCTGAGATGAGCAGGCAGCTTTATTCCAGGCATCGCTAAATTTTAAGTGGGGCAGGAGATAAAATATTTGACATAGCATTAACTACATGGATGCACAATCCCTGCAGACTTTTCCAAGGTATTAAACTAAGAACTTCTAGGTGTTGCTAGTTTGACAATATTTTGAGTCATATATTTTTTTGCATGCCTGGTGTGGTCCATAACATTAAGCTGTAGCTAAATGCTCTCTTGACCTCTTTCAGCAGCGCTTTGCAGCTGAAATGAGCTGCCTGACCCCTGTCAATAAAAGAGGTGACCAGAAAAGCTCCACTGGCTTTGCCTCTGGTTTGTGCTGCTAGCACAGGCTGGGAGTGTGACAGCAGCCCTTGGTTTCACACTGACCTTCCCCGCTGCCGCAGCAGTGGTGCCCTCAGACAGGGCGCTGACAGCTGCTTATGGCAACAGCCAACCGGTTCAACTTCTTGAGGCTTATCACACTGTTTGCATAAACACTGGGATCAGAGCAAGAATGAAGGAAGCATGGGCTGAGCTTTAGAAAGGTTTTATCCTACCGTTTTCTTATCTGCTCTAATCTGTCTGTCTGTCCCCTCCATGCTTGTTTAAAGGACTTGTTCCCCAGGAACTCATGATCCCAGGTTTCCTCTGGGTTGGTGTCTAGAGCTGGAGCCTGCAGGTTCTCTGAGGCGAACTTACAGTGCTCTTGCAGTTCCATCCAATGTAGTTCCCTCTCTGGTCAGTTCAGCTTTGAATCCAAGGAGACTGTTCTAGAAGGCAGCAGGGAGTAAACCAGTCCATATGCACTCATGAGGAAGCAGGTCCTGTGGCTCCCCTCTGCCTCTGGAACTCCAGACTGCCCACTGGACTGATGGAGCTTTTGAAAATATTCCATGTTTCTTTTTCTAAACAACTAGGCACATATTTAAATGCTGATCTCTTCTTTCTAGACACTGCTGCTAGTTCCCTGAATTTGCAGAGGATCCCAGTACTATCATCTCTGCTAAGCAAAAAAGTTCTCCCATCTGTTCAAAAGGGGAAGGATGAAACATTGACCAATATTGAGAAATGTATTCTCCTGGTTTCAGAGGCAGTTATTGGAATTTGCTTGGTATTCAAATGATAACTTACACCTGTAGCAACTTGCTGAGTAATGCCTTGAATCAAACTGTGATAAAAGGGACATGTTTGAAGTTTTTGAAGGCAGTACCTCACTATCAGTCCCTTTCAGGGCTGTCACTCAGAGCTCTGCAGCCTTGCCTGTGTCAGCAGGTAGTCAGACTAAACTTCCCATTCATCTGAATCTAAAACTCATCTGGGCGTACTCAATCATTGATTAAAAACAGGCACTGGATAGAACAAGGAAAACAATCTTTTCCTGAACACATTATCTTAATACAAAGAGCTATGGTGTGTTTTCCCCCAGTGAATGCGAGCTGCAGACCAAGAACCCTTCCAGCCACCCTTGTGAGCCCAGCACAGGCCATGTCACGCAGATTTTGGGGCGTTGGCTTCTCTTGTTTCGAGGCTCTCTCCTACAGAAATGGGGTTTAATTGCTGCTGCCACCAAGCCTGAC